CAACTAACAGCCAAAGACATCTTATACCGACTCCAGGCTTCAAAGGCCAAGTGCATCATTACCAGTGACACACTGGCACCTGCAGTGGAATCTGTTGTGCCTGACAGCCAGTTTCTGAAAAGTAAACTAATTGTAGGCAAAGGGAGCAGGGATGGGTGGCTGAACCTCAAAGAACTCGTGGCGTGAGTATCCAGTTGTTTGACCTTCATGCCTGAGAGGGGAAGGAGGCTGTACCAGTCAGGTGACATTGCTGAGTTTTGGGGTTCATTTCCATAACAGAAATAAGTTACGTTTTTGCATCCTCCTGTCAACTCACTGCATTATTATTGCACTGTATTAAGTACAGATTTGTCCAACAAAGGTTTGGGGACCTAAGTTCAGGTCCTTCACCATCTCCTCACTCAGGAGCCTTGTGATTCAGAGTGCAATTGTGACAGCCAAAATGTGTTCTCTATCTCTTTCCTGTGGTATCTGATGCATCTGTTTCTTTAGTGAGATCTGTATGCAGTTTGGGGCTGTTTTCCTGTTTAACTCCTAAACCTTAGAAATACAGATTCCTTGGTGGAAAAATGCGTATAGTGACTATAATATACTTTTTCTTCTGAAGGGTGGCATCTGCTGACCATAAATGTGTCAAGACAAGAAGTCAAGACCCAATGCTGATCTATTTTACAAGTGGAACTACAGGCTTTCCAAAAATGGTGGTGCAGTCCCACAGCAGTTATGGCATTGGACTTGTATCTGGTGGCAGGTATTACCTTGGAGTTGCTCTCAGTGTCCTCATTAAGTGACATGATCCCTATTACATTGAAAATGTGACTGTAAAACTCCAGTAAATGTAGGCCTTCAATGACTGTAGGATCTTGCCTCTTCCTCATCTTTTCCCTTTCACAGTGAAACCCTCCATATTAAAACCCTCTTGCAGACTCACTTGAGTGTGCAGTGTTCTGTCTCTCAGACTGCAGAGGAGAAAAAAGGAGTGTCCCTTTTTGACTCTTACAAACTTTCTACAGAGCCCTGCCTGCTGACTCCACATCTTCCAATGGAAGCATCCTGCCCTGTCCTTGAATTCTGCTGTGAACTGTGCCCAAGTCTCTCACACTCCATGTAGCATTTTTTTCATCTCTTCTTTATCACCAGGCGTTGGATGAACTTGACTCCTTCAGATATAATGTGGAATACCTCTGATACTGGATGGGCAAAAGCAGCTTGGGGCAGTGTTTTTGCACCATGGATTTGTGGATCTTGTGTCTTTGTACACTACATGCCACAATTTAAACCAGCAGTTATTGCAGAGGTTAGTAATCCATTTCTCAAGCCATCCAGAGTTGCCAGAATGCCTGTTCCTTCTCTCAGCCATTTCTCAAAACTAGTAAGCTGGCCAATTCTCCTCAACCCTGCCCTCTTGTGTGGGGTGGGGACCCTCACTTTCCCAAGAACAAATCTGGAAAAACTTTGGTCTAGTTCCCTATCACCACTTAGGCTTGGGCCTGGGACATGGACACCTTGGAAAGCACAAAACAATCTTAATTGGAACTACTGCACTCAGTGGTCTTTCATTTACATATGTGACTTCTGTTAGACAGAAAGTTCTGTGTGTTCTACAGCAGTGGGACCCACCATTACATTTTCTTTCTACAAAATAACTTTCTCTTTTTCTAGACTCTCTCAAGATACCCCATCACTACCTTCTGCACTGCCCCCACTGCCTATCGCATGCTGGTCCAACACGATCTGAGCAGGTACCGCAGGGGTAGGAGGGAGGCTGGGATATAATGCTGTGACACCTCTGGATGCTTAGTTCCTCAAGTTCCTTATTTCTAATTATTTTTTTTTTCAGTTAAAGGGAATCTAATTAGGA